AATTTCACTCAGAATAAGTGAAAAATTCACTTATTTATAAGTGTATATGCACTTATTGATCGAGAGGACGACTTATAACGTACAATAAGTGAAATTTCACATATTCAGATTTAGAGAGCGCATATTAACGAAATAAATTATTAATCGATGGGGGGAGACACGAACCCTAGACCTAACGCATACTAAACACTAACGCTATCCACTACACTACCCAGTAATAAAGGGTGAATTAAAGTGGATTGGTACTTTTATGCTCTTAAATTCCAAACCAATTCCGTTTTTGTCCGCAATCTTAATGAATTCCTTTTCTATTGTTAAATTGATTATTTCTATCCAATTCAATTCTCTGTAACCACGTGACCAGAATTTGAAACCCCTTCAATGCCCTTTAAAGAATTCAATGTTAATTAAAAGGCACTAACTCCACTACAAATGATTCCCTTAAACGGCATTAAAGTGAATTCAGACTCTGGTCACGTGGTTACAGAGAATTGAATTGGATAGAAATTATCAACTTAACAATAGAAAAGCAATTCATTAAGATTGCGGACAAAAACGGAATTGGTTTGGAATTTAAGGGCATAAAAGTACCAATCCACTTAAATTCACCCCTTATTACTGGGTATACACACAACTACAATATTTGAGCATATAATATTCCTTATATACTCTACACATATTTCATGAAAATGAATTTACATAAAAACTAATAGACAATAACGATAATAAATAATAAACAATTATAACACTATTTATACACAATAAACTCACAACGCGATTATATAGACGTGACAGGAAACCGACGCGACGGACAAATTGAGACGACCATTTTTAAATGGATGCCATGATAATGAATTGCGCGCAACATGTATCGAAATTTTGAACTAACTATGGATCTCCCAACCAAAGTTTATATGGATGAGGCAGCCATATGTGAAAATCCATAGCATGAATTGTAAGCCCAACCATGCCTATTGATGTCACATCCATATTTGATTCAACAATATAATATGGCTCCCTCATCCATTGAATATGGAATGTGCTTCCATTCTAAAAGTTGTCTCTTCCATTGAATTGGATAACACAACAATATTCTGCTCAACAATATTTTTATGGACATCTCTCCCAGACCTTTTCTTTCCGTGTATCTATTTACATGTATTTAAATGTTTTTAATAAAAAAACATAATAAATTGTATAGATAACTAAAGTCGGGGACAAAAGAAAGCGACTCTGGCTTTTTTTGTTTATATCTCATTGAAAAAAAATCTCTCAACATTCTGGTAAAAAAATTTATGAAAGCTTAAAGTCTTGAGAATGAAAAAAAGTATATTTCGAGATCACAAAAAATTTTTTGCAGTAGCTTTGACACAAATTGTGCCAAAAAACACAGTTTTCAGCCCTTTTTTACAAGTCTATACTTTCACCTATTCCCCAAGCGAAACTGCTAGTAGGAAAAATTTGAAAAAATTTACAGATATTCTTTAAGGTGTGTACAATTAATTTTTGTTTTTGAAATTAAAAAATAATAATTAATTTATTGTTTACACAGCTTTATTCAGCTTAATGCTATCTTTTAAAAAAATAGAGATAAAATGACGTTTTTAGCTTAAAATGTGCAATTTTATAGTAGGATAAAATTACATAAATTAAAAACTAAATAAATTGAATATTCTTCTCAAAAAATGAATATACATATTTTGGGCTTTAATGAGAATCGACGTGTGGCTGCCATAAAGCAAAAAGTTGTAGAAAAAAAGAGTTTCGAGTGTACAATAGAAAACCCAGAAGAAAATCGCTATATGTGGGATTGCACTCAGGGCTGTCTCTACGCTTAACAGATAAAATCCTTGAGTGGCTCCCAATAAATGAGACAAAATTTTATCAAATAATATTTTTATCCAGAACAATTTTTTAAACAAAACGAAACTTTATACATTGTTTATGCAAAATTAATTTTGCATACTAGATTTTTAATAAGTTGCATACTACATTTTTATAGTATTATGCAAATTTGATGTAAAAAATTTTATTTTGCAAAACCAGTTTTGTAAAAAAAAATTTTTAAATCCAATTTGCAGTTTTTTTTTTGCAATATCCCAAGTAGAACGTAATATTACTGTAGTATAACATGTAATATTAGTAATATTGCAATGTATTAGTAATATTATTAATAGCATTACAGTAATATACATGGTAATATTACTTTAACATAACAGGTAATGTTACAGTAATTAATTATTTTATACTTAATGTGTTTTATGTAGTCAAATTTTCGTTAGAAAAAAGATTAAATAATAAATGTATAAAATTTCGCTTGGGAATGTAGCATAATTTATTATAAATTAATAAGTAGATCATATTATAAATTACAAATATTAAAAATTAATAAGTAGTAGTTTAAAAAATTGTTCTGGATAAAAATATTATTTCATAAAATTTTGTCTCATTTATTGGGAGCCACTCAAGGATTTTATCTGTTAAGCGTAGAGACATCCCTGAGTGCAATCCCACATCTGGCGATTTTCTTCTGGGTTTTCTATTGTACACTCGAAACTCTTTTTTTTCTACAACTTTTTGCTTTATGGCAGCCACACGTCGATTCTCATTAAAGCCCAAAATATGTATATTCATTTTTTGAAAAGAATATTCAATTTATTTAGTTTTTAATTTATGTAATTTTATCCTACTATAAAATTGAGCGGCCGAATCGTAGAAGGGCACGTAAATTTTTCTCGAGCGAAATCTAAGTCCCCTGAACACTCAAAATTCAACTTCTGAATTTAAATATTTTAAATACACATCCTTATAAAAAATTTCATTCTGCATCTTTTTTTCTTATGAAATTTTTTTCTATCTATTACCGTTTTCGAAATATTTTGGAAAAACTGTTTTTTTGAAAACTGTAAATTTAATGACATTTTTCACTTCAACTCGCGATATTTCAGACAATTTTAAAAATTTTTCAATGAAACAAAAATGAAAATACGTCTTAAGGTATTCTACGAATGATGAAAAAAGAAAAAAGTGGTTTTCTTTATAAACAAAATTGTTATTAATTTTTTTCTTTATTAATGTAAAAATCACGAACTACAATCTTCACGGCTCTCGTTTAACGGGCGAATTTTGAGTAACAGAGAACTTTCAGTGAGAAAGTTGTTCATTATGATCCAAAAAAGTTTTCTGGAAAATAATAAGGTTAATAATTAATTAGTGTCGAAATGGTAAATGTTTAAAGTTGCTAGCGACCAAACGCATAGCACGCGTCACTCGCCATAGTTGCTTGGGAGTGTTGTTTCATAGGTTATGGCCAGTGGCGCGTGCTATGCGTTTGGTCGCTAGCAACTTTAAACATTTACCATTTCGACACTAATTAATTATTAACCTTATTATTTTCCAGAAAACTTTTTTGGATCATAATGAACAACTTTCTCACTGAAAGTTCTCTGTTACTCAAAATTCGCCCGTTAAACGAGAGCCGTGAAGATTGTAGTTCGTGATTTTTACATTAATAAAGAAAAAAATTAATAACAATTTTGTTTATAAAGAAAACCACTTTTTTCTTTTTTCATCATTCGTAGAATACCTTAAGACGTATTTTCATTTTTGTTTCATTGAAAAATTTTTAAAATTGTCTGAAATATCGCGAGTTGAAGTAAACAATAAATTAATTATTATTTTTTAATTTCAAAAACAAAAATTAATTGTGCACACCTTAAAGAATATCTGTGAATTTTTTCAAATTTTTCCTACTAGCAGTTTCGCTTGGGGAACAGGTGAAAGTATAGACTTGTAAAAAGGGCTGAAAAACTGTGTTTTTTGGCACAATTTGTGTCAAAGCTACTGCAAAAAATTTTTTGTGATCTCGAAATATACTTTTTTTCATTCTCAAGACTTTAAGCTTTCATAAATTTTTTTACCAGAATGTTGAGAGATTTTTTTTCAATGAGATATAAACAAAAAAAGCCAGAGTCGCTTTCTTTTGTCCCCGACTTAATTACATTCTCTTTGTACTATACACATACAGAGTGATAAAAAATTTCCCAAAAACTAAAAAATTTTTTCTTTGCAAATTCTATATACCTTTTTTTTGTAGTTGCTTGCTTCGTCTATTTACAAAAATATTTTGGTAATAAATTAATATATGAGGAGTTGTTTCCCAACTTCTAAAACAAATTAAACATCCCAGTAAAAAAAAACTAATTCAAATGAATTGAAACGAATTAACATTTTTGGTAGGCTCCAATTCGTATTTGTCACAAAGCGGGATTCACTCAAGCTCTTTGTATATTCAATTGAATTTAATTCAATATGTACCAATTTGTCCAAACGAATTCGCATTCGAAAGAAATGGCCAAGGAATGCATTGAATTCGTGCTAACGAATTGAAAAAAATTAAAGGCTCAAAACTTGTCCAGTGAATTGGTACGGATAGAAGGTTCGGAAGTTCAATACAGTTTCACGAATTCAGGAAAATTGCATCATGGCTCCAATTCGTATTTGTCACAAAGCGGGATTCACGAAAGCTCTTTGTGAATTCTTTTTAATTCATTTCAATTAGTTTTCGTTTACTGGGATGCTTTACCACGTATGTACTATGTATTCTCACGTTTCTGTTACAGAAAGAAATTTTTTTCAATTTTTGTAATTAATAATAACTTATAATTTTTATAATTAAATGTTATTTTTCATAATGTTTTCTCTTGAAATGGATGGTGGCTACTATCGAAACGTCGAGACAATTTTATTAATAATAAATATTTTGACAAACTTAAAAATTGTCTTCAAAATTTTTTAATGAAAAATTTGAATTCTTTGGCCTAAACTTGAAAACAAGAATTATATAAATTAATATAAATATCAAAATATGAATATTTGAATAGACAAGGCAATTTAATAATTAAATGAATAAATAAAAAAAGTAGTTTAAAAAAAAGGTTTTTAGAAAATTGCAAAATTTGCAATCAACTTTTCATAATGAGAGAATTTTTGTGTTTTAGAATTTTATTAATAACCAATTATGGCGGAAGCCCATTCAGCTGTCGCATTTAGTTTTGCAATTACTCATGAGGGATGGGACGTAAACTTTGATAGAGAAGTTCTCCATCTTGTCTGGCAATCTGGTATTCGTTCTTGGAAAAAGAGATTTTTCCGATTCCAGGTAAAAAATGTTAAAATACAAAATATTAATTATTAATATTGTTATGACTAATTTATAACTAATTACTAATAAATTAATTAGTAGCAATAGGTAATTAATTTAATAACTAATCACTAGTTTTCAAAATTTTTTTCATTTTGGTGGGTATCTTTTTGTACTTGTGCTTTCTAGGCTAATTTAGGGGTCACTGAAAACGAAAATGACCATAAAAAATTTTTTCAAAGAAGCATTTTTGAGATATTGGCAAAAAACACGTTTTCCGGTTTATTTCTCATTTTTTATAATAAATATTGAAAATAAGAACGAAAAACGTAGAACGAATATATGAATTAGATAGAATTTGTAAGGAACGCTATTTTTTTCATGATGATGTATTACTTATATGAATATTTTTAAAATTTTGTTGTTTATCATAGCTGAAAGTCGAAAAAAATGATTTTTTTACTGTTTTTTGAAATTTACACCCATTTATTACTTCTAATAAGTTATATAAAAAAATTTTTTCCACATAATTTTTTATTTTAAACTAAACTTCCCAGTAATAAGGGGTGAATTAAAGTGGATTGGAATTTTTATGCTCTTAAATTCCAAACCAATTCCGTTTTTTTCCGCAATCTTAATGAATTCCTTTTCTATTGTTAAATTGATAATTTCTATCCAATTCAATTCTCTATAACCACGTGACCAGATTTTGAAACCCCTTATTAATGCCCTTTAAAGAATTCAATGTTAATTAAAAGGCATTAACTCCACAACAAAAGATTCCCTTAAACGGCATTAAAGTGAATTCAGACTTTGGTCACGTGGTTACAGAGAATTGAATTGGATAGAAATTATCAATTTAACAATAGAAAAGGAATTCATTAAGATTGCGGACAAAAACGGAATTGGTTTGAAATTTAAGGGCATAAAAGTACCAATCCTCTTTAATTCACCCCTTATTACTGGGTTCGTAAAAGTGAAAAATATATGCTGTGATTTAAAACTTTTTACTATATTTTCTGATGTTTAATGGTTCCAATGGTTAGTAAAAGTATTTAAATGATACTCGTGGACGGTAGTGTACATCATCATGAGAAAAAATAACTTTCCTTACAAATTCTATCGATTTCATATTCGTTATACTCATCATTTTAAATATTTCTTGAAAAAAATGAGAAACACTGCAAAAAATGGCGTCTAAAAGTAAGACGTTAGACGTTTATAAACGTCTTATGTAAATAAGGGTCTTATTTGAGCGTCTTAAATGAAAAACATAACCTCCAAATACATGCATTTTAGAAGGCAAATAAGACGCTTATAAACGTCTTCAATGTGACCACGTAAACGTCTTAAACCAAGACGCTCTTTTTTTACAGTGAATAAACCGGAAAACGTGTTTTTTGCCAGTATCTCAAAAATGCTTATCTTTGAAAAAATTTTTTGTGGTCATATTCGTTTTTAGCGACCCCAAATTAGCCAAAGAAGCACATGTACAGAATAAGGTACCCAAAATGAAAAAAAATTTTGTAAACTAGATAATTAGTAAATAATTTAATTAGTAATAGTAATTCGTACTAGTACTAATTAGTAAGTATTAATATTGATTAGTACTAATTTTATTACTAATTAATACCAATTATTAATATTTAATTAGTGTTAATTCAGCTAATTATTTCAGGTTAATTAATTTATTAAGTTAAAAAGATTATAATTTTTAGAATAATTTAAAAAGTGGCGTTTACCCAGCCTCATTGGGAAGCTTGTGGCTCACAATAACTTTAGTGACAGCAGTTCATTTTGCAGGATATAAAGTTCCTTATGATTTAGTAGGAAAAGTATCTCCATACCTATCAGGGTAAGATTTATTGTAAATTTAAAATTAGAAGATCGAAAAGATTTTTTTCTTTAATTTCATTCGAATCCCGTGTGGAAAAAGCCACGTTCGAGCCCCACAGCTCCGAGGCCCCCGTTGGGGGCCCTCGTGGAAGATCCATGAGGATAAATCCACGAGGGCACCAGCAGGGGCCCCGTTCTTTGCCCTAACGGTTGCCCTGCTCAAAAATTTATCTAAGTTTCAAAAAAAAAATTTTTTTTATTGAAAAACTTTAGTTCAGAATGCATTAAATTACGTTTCAAAGCACCTGAAATAAACATTAAGTGACATTTTTCCAGAAATCCTATCACAAAGTTATGGAAATTTACGAGGGCACCAGCAGGGCCCCTGCTCTTAGCCATTGTGAATGCCCTGCTCAACATTTTTTCTAAGTCCAAACAAAAAATTTTTTTTTACAACAAAAAATTATTGTTTACAATCATTTTAAACAATGAAAAACACGTTTTTAACAAATATTTAATGTTACTTTTTAAAAAATATAAAACTTACATGAGGGCAAATCCTTGAGGGCCCACGCGAGGGGCCCTCATGGATTGCCCACATCATTAACTAGAAAAAATTTCTAAGTCCAAAAAAAAAAAATTTTTTTTACATCAACAAATTAATGTTTATAATGATTTTAAACTATGAAAAACGCGTTTTTAACACAAATGTTTTGAGATTTTTTTTTTTTTGAAATTATAAAAATATTAATTTACGAATATTTATGGTCTATTATTATATTATTAATATTGTTATTATTATTATTATTAAACTATTTAATTATTTGTCATGGTGTATTAGTGTCAATAAATAATTTATTGAATCATCAAAAGCAAGTCAGCAAGTCACCTACATTAAAGCAATAATTTTCAAGTAGGTCCCGTAGCATAGTGGTAAGAGTTTTATTAGTTTTTAGCTTCGGCGTTTTCTAATGAATTTGTTGTAATATAATTGTTTTAAACTCACAGTAAAAAATCATTTTTGTTATAATTATTTTCTATTTATGAGATGAGAGTGTGCGTCGACGAGTAGTCCTCGATGACCGTTTCGACAATAAATTATTGTTATATCTGCAAATGTATCACAACGTTGTTGTTTATTGCGTTATTTTGTATATTTCTCTATATTTTTGTTGATCAATAAACTAAAAAAAAAAAAAAAAAAAAAAAAAAAAATAGTGGTAAGAGTGTTGTCTGGTAGTCAGTAGGTCGTAGACTCAATTCCTGCGTGCGTCAGATTTTTTTTTTTTTTGTCACGATTTAATTAAAAAAAGTAAAAATTGTTAAATAAGAATGTTATTTATCAATAATTGGACTAATTTGTTATTAGTAAATAATTAATTTATTAATTTAATTGAAAATAAAGTTGAGGGCATTTTATGAAATCCACGAGGGCACCGCGTGGAAAATCCATATGGAATCCATGAGGATTTTCCTCGAGGGCACCTATGAGGGAAAGCATGTCACGCCTTCGAGGGCTCCGCGTGGATTGCCCCTACGGGTTCCACATGGCAAGAGGGCAATCCACGAGGGCCCCGCCGGGGGCCCTCACCGTTTTTCTGCACGGGATCGATTAAAATAATTATCTATTCTATAACTGTAATTTCTGTACAGATAATTATTATAATTATATAATTTTTTAAAGTTCTTTTGTCAAAAATTGTTTATATTAATTAAATTGATATCAAATATTTAATTACTTTCTTTATTGATCAAATATTTAATTAATTACTTTATTGATTAAATATTCATTTATTTACATTCTTAACTAATTATTTAGTTAATTAAAAGTATAATTTATGACCCGGTGAAAGATTATTTTAGATGTAAAGCAAATTTATGAATCCTCAGAGTTAAAATGTTTATAAAATACAAAACACAATAATAAAAATTAATTAATTATTTGAAGCGTTAATTAATTATTGTTTTTATTTTCATTATTTTTTTTTGCTTTTATTTTTGTACTTTTTATGTTTGTTGTTATTTTTGTTTACATTTTATAAATATTTTTTTATTTTGCAGGTCTTCCATACCGGCACATCTCGCAGGCTCGATTGTAGTGGGACTGTTATTGTGGCTGGTTGTGATATACGCAATTCGTTACACTTTAAAATTATTACTTATTTATAAGGGATGGCTTTTCGAAGCAAGAGGCAGGGGAAGTCGTCCCTCTTATTTAACCCTACTGTGGTTTTATTTAGTCAAATTATTTTCTGGCTGGAACAAACCCATGCTGTACAGTTTCCAAGGTTCACTGCCAAGACTTCCACTTCCCTCCGTTGAAGACACGATGAAAAGGGTTCGTTTTATTTTATTTATAACTCTTCAATTTAATTAGTACAATAATTTACTGCTTTTGTAGAAAAAAAAGTAATTTGTCAAAATAATTTTACTGCTTTTGTCGAAACAGTATTTTATCAAAATAATTTAATATACTTTTTTGACGAAACAAATTTTGTCAAAATAGTTTTACTAATTTTGTCGAAACAGTATTTTTTCAAAATAATTCAACACTTTTTTTAACGAAACAAAATTTCGTCTGCAAAATAGTTTTACTGCAATTGTCGAAACAGTATTTTGTTAAAAAATAATTCTACATATACTTTTTTCTTGAGTGAAACTATTTTGTCATAATAATTATATTTTTTTTATCAAAAATAATTGTACATTTCCCTTCTTTTTTTGGAACAGTATTTAATGAGTGCACGTCCCCTATTAGACGATGGGAATTACACACGAATGGAAAAATTGGCAAAAGAATTTCAACAAGGAATTGCCGTGAAACTGCAACGTTATTTAATGCTAAAATCATGGTGGTCGACGAATTATGTTTCCGATTGGTGGGAGGAATATGTCTACTTACGTGGTCGTTCGCCATTAATGGTGAATTCCAATTTTTATGGTATCGATGCAATTTTAATGCATCCAACGACAGTTCAGGCGGCGCGTGCTGCATCGACGATTCATTCATGTCTACAATACAGACGTCTCATCGAACGACAAGAATTAGAACCAGTTGGTAGAATGATTAGAAATTTAAAAGAAATATTTATTTAAATCATTTCATTTTTTATTATATTTATTTTTGCATTTTTTTGTATTTTGTTTATTTTTGTATTTTGTTCATTTTTTTTATTTTTTAATTATTTTACTTATTTAAAATTTGTTTAGTCATTTATCGAGATTTTTTTTGTCTATTCTATCTTTTTACTATTGTTTATTTTCCTTTTTGTGTAGATTCTCATACAAGGCTTGGTGCCCTTGTGCTCGTGGCAATATGAAAGACTTTTTAATACAACGAGAATACCTGGAATTGAGACAGATAAAATAATTCATTATCAAGATGCTAAACACGTTGTTGTTTATCATAAAGGCAGATACTTCAAGGTGCTTATCTATTACAAGAATAGAATTCTCATGCCGTGTGAAATTGAACAGTAAGTGATGCATTTTTTTCATATTTCCAATTGTCTTCTTTCACACAACTCGATTTACTTTTAACAATTCGTAATTTCTTACCAATTTATTATAATTTAAATTATGAATTAAAATTTGTATTCATTTTTTTCCATATTATGTTTATTAATAAATTACTTATTATTTTTATTTATTATTTCTTTATTAATTAAAATAGTAATTTATTTTATTTTTTAATTTTTTAAATTAACTGACTCGAAGCCTCGAATTTCATACGAATTGGGTAAACATTTTTTTTAATAATAATAATAATTTACAAATTTATCAGTTGGCAAAATAAGTGAAAATATAGGGTCAGCCGGGGTAAATCCGAACGCTTTTAGTAAGTTTCAACAATAACATAAGTTTTTTCTTTTAAAAGACAATACTTCCGGTATTCTGGTGCATGAAGTTGTTGCTTTACTTCCATAGAACAATTTTATGGGGTAGCAAAAATTTTTGATAAATTACAATCGCAGGAAACTTAGCGTTCGTATTTACCCCGATACTTTGCAACTTTCCTAAAATACCGGGGTAAATACGAACGCCATTGTATTTCAGAAAAATCTTAGGGAAAATAAATTTAAAGTATTGCAATTGTTAAACTTATATAAAAACTAAAAAAATACGATAATAAACCTATTACGTAATAATGCATCATATATAAATACAAAAATCAAACAGGTTAAAAATTAAAATGCATTACACAATTAAAACCTTCAATAACTTTATCAAATCATAACGGATTTTTGCAAAACTTGGTACAGAAAGTATTTTGGAGTGATTGAATGTAAATACAAAAATAAAAGTCAAATTTTTTAAATTCAAAATGGCGGATTCAAAATGGCAGACTTTCCTAAAACTTATTTTTAAAAATGATCAAATTTGTTTGAATCTTGCCATTTGGGGGTTTTCGGGGTCGCTGAATACGAATCTGAAGTCAGATTTTTAAAATTCAAAATGGCGGATCCAATATGGCAGATGAAAATTAAAAAATTCATTGGATTCGCTCGAAAATCGTTACTCGGGGGTTTTCGGGGTCGCTGAATACAAATCTAAAGTCAGATTTTTAAAATTCAAAATGGCGGATCCAATATGGCGGATGTTCTTAAAACTTAATTTTAAAAATGATCAAATGTGCTTGAATCTTACCACTTGGGGGTTTTCAGGGTTGCTGAATACAAATTTAAAGTCAGATTCGTAAAATTCAAAATGGCGAATCCAACTCAAAAACATTACAAATTTTAAAAATAAAATCAACATTTCTGTTAAAAGGTCTAGAAAGAAGATAATTTAAATTGTTTAAATTTTTTGTGGAAGAATAATATTTATTAGAATTGATATTAAAATAATCGTTTAACATTATTAATTTTATCATAATAAAATTAGAAATTTAACAAAAAATAAAAACTTTAAGCCCAACCAAATTTCGACATGGCAGGAATTGAATAGAATCCTTTTTTCGAAATACACTTTGGAGGCGCAATGTGTTCTACAATATCTGTCCAAGTATATGCAGTTACCTCAGGAATTTCGGGCCACTTCCACGACTTCAAACTCTTTTGCATAGTAGATACACACTGTCACTAACACACTATCACATTGACAGTTTCACTGTCCCACTTTCACTAACATACTTTCCCACTTTCACTTACACACTGTCCCATTGTCACTGTCACACTGTCACTAACACACTGTCACTAACACACTATCACATTGACACTTTCACTGACACATTGTCACTGCCACCCTCTCCCCCCTCTCTCTCTCTTTCTTTCCACACTACTTACCACTATTGTGTTCTGGTATCCTGAAGAAATAATTATTTCTATCTGATGCGTATGAAACAGATGCTATTGCGCTTCTATGCAATCTATATTCACTGTGCAATATTATGGAATATTAACCCCTTGCCTGTCAATGTCATGAATAGCGGCAAAAAAAAGGTGGTCAAAAGTACTTTATGACGCACATGACGCTTCGAATCCTTAAAAAATAATTAACTCTTTCCGATTTGTATGAGAGATTCTATTGCGCACTTATGCGATCTATGCACTGTGCAATATTATGGAATGTTAACCCCTTGCCTGTCAATGTTATGAATAGCGGCAAGAAAAGACTGGTCAAAAGTGCTTCATGACGCACATGTGCGTATCTTAAAAAAATTTATAAAAACTGTTTATATTGTTTTAAAATTTATTACTCGGGGTCACTGATAACGAATTGGGCATCAGAGCTTCATCATTCAGAATGGCGGGTACAATATGATACACAAATTTCATAAAAATTCCTTCAGTTTTAGAAATTTTAATCCGCTTCTTTTAATTTTTAAGTGATTTTTAAATTTTGAGAAACTGACTTCAAATTCGTAATCAGCAACCCTGAAAACCCCCGAGTAACGATTTTCGAGCGAATCCAATGAATTTTTTAATTTTCGTCCGCCATATTGGATCCGCCATTTTGAATTTTAAAAAACTAACTCTAAATTCGTAATCAGTGACCCCAAAAACCCTAGAATACTAAATTTTATTAAGATCCTGAAAAACTTTTTTCAACAAACCATGTGGCAAAAAAAGTGGAACACTCCTTCGAGAGAACAGAGATTAAGTTTCTGCTTATTAATTACTAACGAGGATACATATAGAAAGAAAAACTTTTTTCTATGTACTTTTATAATGTTAAAATAATAGTGTAATCAAATAAAAACAATTTTGTGTGGCTCTGATATAAGAAAAAATTATTGAAAATACCGTTCGGATTTACCCCGGTTTTTCAATTTTCCGGGGTAAATACGAACGGTCTGATATTATTAATAAAATTTAACAGAAGGCAAAAATCAAAAATAGTTTTTGTTCTAGTATTCATAACAAACAATTATAAATAATAAAATGAATTTTTAGCTTCTTTTTCTTCAAATACGAGACAAAGTACTGAAAGAGTGTCATCTTTGATTTTCAATCTTTTTTGCAATACTCGTTATCTTTGTTTATGCTGTTGCTAATTAACAAACGAAAAATGGGATAATACTTAGAATCTCTTGAAGAGGATCTGAGGTAAAAATTCTCATGTCTAACTTATTTTTAAAAATTTTAATTAAGCTGAAATAATTAGTGTTCGGATTTACCCCGGCTGACCCTAATTACAATAATAGATAATTTTTCAAAACTAATAGTAATAAATATTATAATTACAATAATAAATTATTTTCAAAACTAATAAATAGTAATATAATTATAAATATTATAATTGTAACAATAAATCATTTTTAAAATTAAAAAATAGTAATAAATATTATTTGTAGGCAAATTCAACAAATTTTGAATGACACTTCGTTGCCAGCTGAGGGAGAAGAAAGATTAGCGTCGCTCACTGCTGGAGAAAGAACTCACTGGGCACAAACTAGACAAAAATATTTTTTCAAAGGCGTTAATCGAGCTTCCTTGGATTTAGTTGAAAAAGCTGCCTTTATTGTTGTTCTTGACGACGTTCCTTATGAATTCGATAAGGTTCGTGAAATTATTTTATTTAATTTCAAACAATAATTATTTATTGTAATAAGTAAAATTTTTAGGATTAATTTTTTTTCTTTTTGGATTTTAGAAACATCCGGAAAAACTTGACAATTACGGTAGAATTTTACTACATGGAAAAGGTTACGACAGGTGGTTCGACAAATCATTCACATTGTGCATTGGCAGCAATGGCAGGGTAACAAAATTTATTAAAAAAAAAATTCCTCGTTAAGTAGAATTAAAAATTTTAAATTTATTCATTTATTGCAGATTGGTTTTAATGCAGAGCACTCGTGGTATGTTTAAAAGAAAAATTTGTTCACAATTTATTTTAATTTTTAATATTTAAATTTTATTAACTCTTTTTACAATTTGTCCTTTATTATTTTCGGAATAAATTTTTCAATTTATTTATTTATTATTTTTTGATATTACAAATGCTAAACATTAATTAACCTGTTTTTTTTTGTTTTTTTTTGTATTTATGGGATACAGAAATTGATGTCGAAAAAATGTCTAAATAGAGTGAAAAATTCGTACATGAGGCATTTCATATGAAAAGACGGGGTCATATCTCCGTTTTTTCTCAAAATTTGGAAAAATGTTGTCCCTAAGGTGAACAATAAGTCTACCAAATTTGAATTAAAAATTTTGCATATTTTCGCAAATATTTGCATTTAAAGATTTTAACAATTTTTTTTTCTTTTGCTCACAACTTTTTTTCTAATAAAAATAGAAAAAAATTATATAAATGTTTTTTACACAAAATAACGTAATGTTTTAGGAAAAAAACATTGAAAGAAAAAAGTTAATTTTTAATTAATTTATTTAAAAAATAAAATTTATTTTTAAATTTTAACCCTGTTCTCCCTATTTTTCAAGCTTGAAAAAAATTGTAAATTTAGCTTATTTCATAATAAAGAAGTAGTTAAATTTTTAAAATGGCAATATTTTTTGTTTTCGAGAAAAAAATTATTTAGTTTTGTAATCCGATTGCCCCACAGTGGTTCAAAACTGCAATTTTTAAAAAAGACGTTTATTTTCTTATTCTTTTACTGCACATGCCCTAAATCAGTTCCAATTTATCCAAAATGACCACCAGAAAGTTAATAAGACATAAAATAATTTATTTGAATTGTTATAAACAATATTAATTAACAAATATATAACTTTGATTCCTCTCCACTAATTTTTTTTCACATTTTCTATTTATTTTAAGTTCATTTAAAGAATATATATCCTTTTTGTTTAAAAAATGACATTCAAATTGTCATAAACAAAATTAATTAACAATTAGTAAACTTTGATGAAAAAAATTTTATTGAACAGGAATCAAAGTTTCTATTTTTTATTTACATTATATTTTTTATAACAACTTAAATATTTTACTTTTAAAACCAAAGGGACATATATTCTCAAAATGAACTCAAATTAAAAAGAAAATGTGTAAAAATAACATTTTTTAGTAGAGAGAAATGAAAGTTAACTAATTATTAATTTATAACAATTTAAACACGTTATTTTTTAAACAAGGAGGACGTATATTCTTTGAATGAACCTAAATAAAAAAGTAAACGTGAAAAAAATTTTTTATTGAACAGGAATCAAAGTTAACTATTTTTTAATTATTATTGTTTATAACAATTTAAATAAGTTACTTTTTAAACAAAAAGGACATATATTATTCAATCGAACTTAAATTATGAAGAAAATGTGTTAAAAGAACACATTTTAGTGGAGAGGAATCAAAGTTATCTATTTGTTAATTAATATTGTTTATAACAATTTAAATAAATTATTTTATGTTTTATTAATTGTCTAGTGGTCATTTCGTATTAATTGAAACTGATTTAGGGTATGTGCAGTAACGGGTTAAAAATATAAACGTCGTTTTTTTAAAAATTATATTAATTTATTAACTTTAATTAAAAAAATCATAAACAATTAAAAACTTAAAAATCGACCTCATGGAATGTCTTAAGAATTTATTCCCCTTTAATTTAAAACAAAAAATACTCAAATCGATTAAAAATTGTAGGCTGTAGACTGTTTTGAGCAGTAAATTGCAGTTTTGAACCACTGTGGGGCAATCGGATTACAAAACTAAATAATTTTTTTCTCGAAAACAAAAAATATTGCCATTTTAAAAATTTAACTACTTCTTTATTATGAAATAAGCTATATTTACAATTTTTTTCAAGCTTGAAAAATAGGGAGAACAGGGTTAAAATTTAAAAATAAATTTTATTTTTTAAATAAATTAATTAAAAATTAACTTTTTTTTCTTTCAATGTTTTTTTCCTAAAACATTACGTTATTTTGTGTAAAAAACATTTATATAATTTTTTTCTATTTTTATTAGAAAAAAAGTTGTGAGCAAAAGAAAAAAAATTGTTAAAATCTTTAAATGCAAATATTTGCGAAAATATGCAAAATTTTTAATTCAAATTTGGTAGACTTATTGTTCACCTTAGGGACAACATTTTTCCAAATTTTGAAAAAAAACGGAGATATGACCCCGTCTTTTCATATGAAATGCCTCACATATATGTGACTGTCCACGAGAAAACAGGGCTTAGCTCCCAAACGTGAATTTCACAGGGCGAGCGATTGAAGTACTACGATTGAAGTTAACTACGCTTGAAATACCCATCTTTAAAACGATATATTGTCGAAAGTAGTTGATATTTTTAACTTTTGACTTTTGCATCTGAAAAAGCAACATAAAATCTGTCGATTACCATAAAAAACTCAAATTGATTTTTTGGACCTAAGCCGTGTTTTGTCGTGGACAGTCACATATTTTTATTTTTTTCCATCAAATTGTGAGAATTATTTTATATAATAAATGAGTAATGAGTAGGGCAGACGCAGCAGTAATGTCACACATGTGGGAGTACGTGATTTCTGACGATGCTCAAAATCCAGTGTAAGAATTTTATTCAACATCTAAACTTCTAAGGGTGAAAACAAAAAAAATTGGCTTCTATCTTAATAATTAATTTTCTATTGGCTTTTTTCAAGGTAGAGCACAAAATTTCTACAAATTATCTATCTTATCTACTTTCTAAGAATAAAAATTCTTTTTTAAGTTTCTACTATTTAGAAACTATAATATGAATGGGATTAATCAAAAGCACACGTTTGATCTTCTTCTTTTTCTTCATTCCTTTTGGGTTTAAATCAGGTCGAAATTATTTTTCTATCAACTGAATTTATTATAATTGATATAAAAATTACATTTTTTTCTCATTATCAACTGTGATTCTTCTTTCCTTTTTGGGTTTTTAATTTTTTATAATTCTTTTCTAGTTATCTTCGTCAATTGTTCTTAATTCTTTTTTTCGAAATTCGAAATTATTTTTCTATCAACTTAATTTATTATAATTGCAAAAATAATTGTAATTATAATTCTTTTCTAATTATTACCTCCAATTCTTCTTTTCTCTTTTGTCTAAATTCGAATTATTTTTCTATCTAATTTTCCTAACTTAATTTATTGTAATTATTATTATTATTATAATTCTCTTCTAATTATCAACTCCAAATTTTGATCAAATTTGCGAACATTTTTTTTTCTAATTTCGATAAAAATTCAAAAATGGGGAATTCGAATACAAAGAAATTTGTTTGGATGAAAAATAAAAATAATACGGCAGAGAAAAAAATATTGATGCAACAATTATTTGGATTTTAGTACAGAAGTTTGGAACACTGGAGATTAATTAATTTGACTAATTTTTCATAGAATTAAACCTATTTTTTTAATTCTGGTACTAAAAAAAAATTTTTTTTTATTCTTTGTGATTGTTAAGGGCCGATGCACCTATTATGGGAAGCTTGTGGGAAAGTGTTCTCGGTACCGCAGTTGATGTTGGGTAATTTGTTACAAACACTTATTTACTTACAAGCAGTGATTTAACAAGTAATTTTCTGTTGTGAATGATTTTTGTAATTGACAATTTAAAAAATTTTTTTCTCTTTATCAAATTTATATTATCTCTATTTTCTTTATAATAATTCACCATAATAATACATTCTTTAATTTAGCTTCTTTTAATAAAAAAAAACGACAACAATTTTTTTCCACTTTTTAAATCACTATTCTTTTTAATCGCATGATTTTTTCTTAATTTACGAAATATAAATTTTTTTGTAAATTGCTTCATAAATAGTTTTTGGCAGTTTTTGTTTATTTTATTTTTATTTATTTTTCATTTACTTTTATATTTTCTTTTATTTATTTATTTATTTTTTTTTTAAATGGGTACACTGAGGGACCTTTGGGTCAGCAGCAGACTTTCGATAGGCGGCTACTGACCATTTCGGTGGAACGCTACAGGACTACACTTTTGGGTTGCTGCGGTACAATTTTGGGCGCGTAACAGTCCAAAAGTTGTTTAGCTGCAAACCAAAGGCGGCATCAACACTACTTCGGTGAGCTGCTCACCAACATTTTGGACTGTCACGCGCCCAAAATGGTATCGCAGCGCACCAAAACCATAGTGGAGCTGCTATCGCATACGTTGTTCCACTATATAGTCCCAAAGGTCTCTCAGTGTATTGAAAGTAAAAAAAAAGTTGTAGTTGGTGTGTTTAGTAGTTTTGTATAGCTTTTATTTTTTTTGGAAGTTGGGAAAAAATTCGTAAAAATTGAGAATTTGAATTTTATTTAGATTTCGAGAAGATGGACACACCCTTGGAACACCGGAATTAGTACCTCCAGCTCCATCGCGTCTTCAGTGGGATTTAAACAAAGATTGCTTGGAGGCAATAGAAAAATCGTATTTAGTACGTAGTTTACAAACTTATAATTAATATTAATTTATACTTATTGCCGAATAATATTAATTATTACTTAATATTAATTAATACTCATTAGCGAATAATATTAATTATTAATTAATACTAATTAATACTTATTGCTAAATAATATATAAAATAATAATTTCTTAAAAGTTAATATTAATTACTATTTTTATTATTATTATTGTTATCATTGTTATTATTTTTCGTCACCTAACATAATATTAATCAATAATAATTATAATTTGAGTAGACAATTATAAACGTGGCATTCCAGGAGAAATTTACTACTTTTCGGAGCACCCTCACCGATTTCTTTCAAACTTGGTAGTATTACATTTGTTGGTCTAAAGTTTCAGAAAATCAATTTTTTAAGTAAAATCAATTGTTTATTTAAAAGTTACAACAATTGCTCAAAATTGTTTAAATGCCCATATCTTTTAAACGGTACAAGATAATTGAGTTTTCTTTTTTGCTAAAAATTCATAAAGACGAGACGCTTCAAAAATGTTATTAACATTTTTTCTTATTTTGTTAATTAAAAAAGTTATTTAAATAAATAAAATTAACTTTTGAGCCGGAATTCAAAATTAAATGACTTATGAACCAAAAAATTCCTTGTTTTTCACACTTTTATATTCCGAAGAAAAAAAGTTGTTTGAGTTTTTCAATCACTTATAATTTAAACAATGATTCGCTTGTTTACAATTATTTTGCAACTAAATGATCATCTGTTCTCTCCTGCGCGCGACTACTGCTACGTCACGTCCGTCTGTCGGCATATAATATATTTGACAAGCGTGGAAAAATTGAGGTTATGTTTAATCAAAACAACGCATTTCAATCTTTTTAAAGTTTTAGGATATCAGGATATCAATATCTTGATTTAACTTTTTTTCCATGACTGCTAAAAACTTTAAAAAGATTGAAATGCGTTGTTTTGATTAAACATAACCTCAATTTTTCCACGCTTGTCAAATATATTATAATATAAGGTAGTCCAAGTTGGGTGGGGGAAATTCAATATGGCTGACATCAGCTGATTTACCGGAGGACAAACAATGCATTGAATTCAATGGGACAAATCAGTTTTTTAACCATAACTTTTTAAATATTCATTTTTGAACCATAGTGTAATGGAAAATTATTCTTTATTTATCGAAATCTATTTTTTAAAACAATAAAACCAAAAAATTAAATTTTATTGTTTTAAAAAATAGATTTCGATAAATAAAGAATAATTTTCCATTACACTATGGTTCAAAAATGAATATTTAAAAAGTTATGGTTAAAAAACTGATTTGTCCCATTGAATTCAATCATTCAATGCATCGTTATTGTCCTCCGGTAAATCAGCTGATGTCAGCCATATTGCATTTCCCCCACCCAACTTGGACTACCTTATGCCGACAGACGGACGTGACGTAGCAGTAGTCGCGCGCAGGAGAGAACAGTGATGATCATTTAGTTGCAAAATAATTGTAAACAAGCACGGAGAGAAATCTGCTGCTAATATTACTCGAAAGAGCACATTACTTAAACTGCTTAACGTTTCTCTTATATTTTTAGCATCGATTCATATACTTATTGTAAAAATACTTTCAATGCAATAAGCATAAGAGACAGTAGCTAATTTTGCACGAAATCTTTATTATAAATACAAAGAGAACGTGCTATAAAAGTATTAGATTCTTCTTATAAGAATCGCTCGAACTCCGACTGATTTTCAGGCGGACTTTATACAACACAATCTTACCTGCGTATATGCACATATAAGATATAACTCACACACACATATATTTCTCTCTCTCTCTCTCTCTCTCTCTCTCTCTCTCTCTCTCTCTCTCTATATATATATTTGATATTTCTTTGTCCTGTAAAACATTATTATATATTATATGTAGTATTTAATACTTGTTGCTGTTATAAAAAGATAATATTTATTTAATAGTAAGTATATTATTTAAAAATTATTGCATTTTTATTCGTGTTTGAATATATAAGCAACATGTGAAAATTGTTAGGTTATGTTATTGCAAACGTCACCGCTTTGTACGCGTTCCGTTCCTCGAAACCATCCAGAGAAATATATGTGTGTGTGAGTTATATGTGCGTACACGCAAGTAAGATTGTGTTGTATAAAGTCCGCCTGAAAATCAGTCGGAGTTCGAGCGATTCTTATAAAAGAAGAATCTGATACTTTTATAGCACGTTCTCTTTATATTTATAATAAAGATTTCGTGCAAAATTAGCAGCTGCTTTTTGTTTTTATTGCATCGAACTCTCCATTACATTAAATAGATGATTTCGTATATAAATTATTATAACCTCAAGCTAAAATTCTATTCAGCAGTGACTAATAAAATTTGTAAAGATTCTGCAAGCAATAATAGCAACAGATTTCTCTCCGTGAGCGAATCATTGTTTAAATTACTTATAAGTGATTGAAAAACTCAAACAACTTTTTTTCTTCGGAATATAAAAGTGTGAAAAACAAGGAATTTTTTGGTTCATAAGTCATTTAATTTTGAATTCCGGCTCAAAAGTTAATTTTATTTATTGAAATAACTTTTTTAATTAACAAAATAAGAAAAAATGTTAATAACATTTTTGAAGCGTCTCGTCATTAGGAATTTTTAGCAAAAAAGAAAACTCAATTATCTTGTACCGTTTAAAAGATATGGGCATTTAAACAATTTTGAGCAATTGTTGTAACTTTTAAATAAACAATTGATTTTCTGAAACTTTAGACCAACAAATGTAATACTACCAAGTTTGAAAGAAATCGGTGAGGGTGCTCCGAAAAGTAGTAAATTTCTCCTGGAATGCCACAAACAGTAATAATTAATTATCAATAATAATTATTTTTTCGTAATTATTTAATAATAATAATTTGGAAACAGGAAGTGGAAAAATTATTGAACGATGTGGAATTGAGAATTTACGTTCACGATATTTATGGAAAAGGTTTTATGAAAAAATGTTCGATGTCACCGGACGCTTATATTCAAATGGCACTGCAATTGGCTTATTATCGAGACGCGGGACATTTTAGTCTCACCTATGAGGCATCAATGACGAGATTATTCCGCGAAGGCAGAACCGAGACAGTGAGACCTTGCACCATTGAATCGTCCGCTTGGGTTAAGGCCATGGAGGATAAATCAAAAACAGTCGACGAACGACTTAAATTATTAGATAAAGCAGTGATCGTCCATCAAATGGGCTATCAAAAGGCAATGGTCGGCAAGGGAATCGACAGGCATTTATTTTGTCTCTATGTTGTTTCCAAATATTTGGAAGTTGATTCCCCATTTCTGAAGGTATTTTTATTCTTTTTATTATAAAAAAAATTTTTATTTTGTTTTTGGTATTGGTTTCTTTTTATTTTACTTTTATTTTATTATTTTTATTTCTATTACCCGTGTGGAAATTGCCAAGGTTTGCCAATATTGATTATTGGGTCTGTAATTGTCCTAGCTTGGAATGTACCTTAACCTGGCCCTAGCTTGGTGATAGCTAGAACTTCTTGTTAGATTATAAGTTATAAATATATTTAAAAATATGTATCAGTAATTGTTTATGTGTAATTTGAAGTAATATTTAAACATCTCATAGCAAGATTGAGACAATATTGAACTGAAATGTTTACTTTTAACTTTTCATTTGTAAAATTTGACAGATTATCAGTAGAATTCTACTAATTGCTATTATCAGAATTGAGTTACTGATAATTAGTAGAAAGTTACTGATTCGATTAATAAAATATAAGTTACTGATTCAATCTGTTGTACAAAAATATGACATAGTCAAATTTACTAATTTATCAGTTGAATTTAAAGGTTATGTTGATTTCTCTTTGGCCACCAGTATATTTAGATATATCCTTAGTTCCGAAGCTTATGAAAGTTAAAATAAATCTTTAAAGCAGTTTTTTAATGTTGGGCGCATAAGTTGACTAAACATTGCATGAATGTTTACAATTTTCTTTAATTTTTTAAGTTTTTCAAAACTTTTTAAAATTGTCTTTAAACTTCCTCCTTTAAAGAAAAAATTCATTTAAATTAAAAAAAATTTTTACTTCATGCAACGTTCAGTTAACTTTTGCGCCCAACATTGAAAAACTGCTGACATTAAAGATTTATTTAAAGTTTCATAAGCTTTGATTTAAGCTTCAGTTAATTAACTCAATTAAAATTTTCATTACAATATATTTTTCAAGTTAAATTTTTAAAACCGTTCACGGATTTGTTAACTTCTGTTAAAATCATATTTTGTTGAATGAAACTGAAGTTTCCAACGTTTACGTCGACGACGTCGACGAAATGAGATAAAAACTTCAATTTTTAAATAACAATTGACTTTCCCTCCCCGATTGGATTAAAAATCTATGCAGGATGTAATGAAAAGAAGAATTAAGTTCTTTTTATCAGAAATTATTTGCATCTTGATCTTTAAAAAAATTCTTTTCCCATTTTGCGTCAACGAAAATGTTACTGACTTCAGTTTTATTATTTTGAGGAATTTATAATGGAATAGTTCATATGACTTATGATGACAAGAATAACCTGAAGTATCATGCAACGCATCGTACCGAGCGAGCGTGGTTAAGTGGTTTGGTTATCGGTTTACGAATGTTAGGGTCGTGCGTTCAACTCCCAACGTGTGGGGATTTTTTCTCTGTTAGTATATAGGAATTAAGTATTATAAATTACATGATAACAAAAGTAGGTAAAAGAGATGAAATAATGAATCTCAATAATAATAAATAAGAATAAATAATTTTTTTTTAATAGTTAATTAAACTGTTCCTTTTATTGGGCCTAACTAGATTCTCTAGGTAGAACCAGGCTAGAAGAGCGTGACGTTTCAACCTAGGGCCTACGAGGATAAACAAGCTAGGACCAAGTTAATAAAGGGGAAATCTAGGTAGAACCAATAAAGGGCCATTAGAAAATTTCCACACGGGTAATTTTATTTCTTTTCTTATTTCTATTTTATTTTAATTTTTATTTTATTTCTACTTTCTATTTTATTTCAATTTTTATTTTATTTCTATTTTTATTTTATTTCCGTTATTTATTTTCCTTATATTTTTTATTTTGTTTCCATTTTCTATTTTATTTACTTTTCCTTTTTCTTATTTTTTTAAAATTTTATTTCTATTTTATTTGCATTTTCTTATTTTTATTTTTTGATTCTGTTTTTTATTGTATTGTATTTTTTTTCTAAAAAGAACGTGGTTTTGAAATTTTTAGGAGGTGCTGAGTGAGCCTTGGAAATTATCAACTTCACAAACGCCTCATGGACAAACAACGAGAATTAATTTGAAGAAATTTCCGAATTGTATTTCCGCTGGTGGCGGATTTGGTCCAGTAGCCGATGATGGTTATGGTGTTTCGTATATTATTGCAGGAGAGGATTTGATATTTTTCCATATTTCTAGCAAACGTAGCTCCCCTGCGACGGTATTTTTTTACCATTTGTAATTCAATCACAATTGAGGGCGTGGAACGGATAACTGCCTGGAACGCATGGTCGAAAGGGACTATACCAGTCAGACATCAGTGAGAGGCTTAGAGGCGCTCACTGATGTCTGACTGGTATAGTTCCACGCCCTCAATTTAATTTTAATATTTTAGTTTTTTTATTTTTATTTATTTTTCTTCTATTTTATTTATAAAAATAAATATTTATAATAAATATTATTTTATTCCTTGTATTTTAGAATAGAATTTTCTTGTTTCTTGATTTTACAAATTTCGCTTTAAATTATTTTTCTATCTTATTTATTATTAATTTTTTTATTTGATTATTAAGAAAAATAAATTTAAAAAAAAATTTTTTCTGTCTCAGAACTCAGTGCGATTTGGCGAGCAAATCAAGAAGGCTCTAATGGACATGAAAAATCTCTTAGAGGAAAAGAAAAAGCCCACGGTTCAAAAGAATGGATCAACATAATTAAGGGAGAAAATTATCTGAATGAATTTCAGATTTGGAATTGTACAATTTTTTTTCTCACTATAAGAGAAAAAAGCAAAAAGGTGGAGGAGGATCTCGTGTTAGAAATAGTTGTGTAAATTTTCCAAAAAAAAAAGAAAAATTTGCCTAGAAAAATTATAGAAAAGCACAAAAGAGACGAAAGAAAAAAGTGATTGTCTATAGAAAAATTTTTCCAGTGCAAAATGTAGTTAATTAAAAAATCTTTTTAATTTGAGATCTCCTCAAGTGGCTGATGCAAAAGCATCTTGTGTACAAAACAAAAAGTTTTTGTAAATTGTGACTATAAACAATTTTACTTATTTTTTTTTTTAATTTAGATAAGCTCAATTGTTTTCTTAATTATAATTCTTAAAAATAAGTTCAACAAATATTACGAAAATATTTTTCTTAGATTATAATTTTTAAAATTATTTTTGTAAACTTTGCAAATTATAAATTTGGTTGTTTTTCTAAATTCTGAAATTTTTTTCGAAAAGACTGCTGATACAATTAAAAGTTATACAATTATTGGGACGAAAAAAATTACAACTTCTGTGAAGTGTACTTTTTATAAACTTCATATTGAGCTGTAAAATACTCCATAAATTAATGCAAAAAACACTTCGTTGATTGTGAAAAAAAATTCTTTTTTCATTGTAAAAAAACTCAGTATAATTGTACAGTTTTTCAAATTTTTAACTAAACTTGGATAAAGAGGTCCAGAATGTAGAATTCTATGACAAATTAGAATAATGAATGAATTTATCAGAATTGAAAACAGAAAATTATTTAAAATTAGTTTCTTTTAATTAGAATATTGAAAGTAAAATAATTTTATTTATACTACAAATTTTGTGTAAATACTTAAAAGAAAAGGAATTATTGAAAACTATTTTGAAAATAGGAAAGTAGATAAACTGGATTATTTATGTAAAATATTAAAAAGAAAAAGAAAATTGCCATAGACATTAATATTCAATTTGTATTTATAAATTAGGACATTTAATTTTATACAAGGGAGTTTCTGTGTTTGTTCTATTTACAAAAATATATATTATATATATACAATAATCACGAAGTATCATTTAAAATGTTTATTTAAACTCTTGAAAATATTTTTTAATTAACGTACCTATTTATTAATATTATATTATTTTCTATTAAATTACGTACCCTGTTTATTGACCATTTGACATTAAATTATCAATAATATTATTTATAGCATTTTTACAAAATAATTCATATATTTTCTAAATTTGATTTGACGTCATGTGTTGTCGCGTTTTTTAATTGTTTCCAAATTTTTTTTTGCCTCTGTCGATGTTGATGGATTGACAGTATTTTCTCTATTAACACGTTTTTTATTCGACTGCACGGCATTGCGAAGTGTTGAATGCAAAAATCGTTTATTAACACTCTCCTTTGGTTTGACCCAACCAGTTGGTCCCAATATTTCGGCACGTCTTGCGCCAACTTTCGCTTCGTCAAGCAATGCCTCCACTGCAAGTCTGTAAATTAAATCAAAATCATTGTTTTTTTAATTTAATTAACAAAAAAAATTTATTCACAAACAAATTTAGTTTAATTTAATAAATTTTCTTTTCAATTTTTATTTTATATCTGAAATAAAATTTGATTAAAATTTAATTAGGGATTGCTCACCAAACTGCGTCACTGTTTTTGGGACTAATATTTACACCTCCCTTCCCCCTTTCGTCATATTTTGTAACGACCCCTTCATTTATAATGATAATATTAATAATAATTAACAATAAAAAAAAAAAAAATTTGAATAAGTAAAAAAAAAGTTTACTAATTTGAATTAGTGACAGAATTTTGCTTTCGAATTAGTAAATTTTACTAATAAATTAGTAGAAATTTTACTCAAAAAATAGTGATTTCTACTAATTTATTAGTAAAATTTATGAATTCAAAAGCAAAAGGTCAGTCACTAATTCAAATTAGTAATAATTTTTACCAATTCAATTTTAAAGTAATTTTTGTATTTATTTAATAAAAATTAATTTATTATTATTAGGGGAGACTGGGGCGAAAATGAACAGAATGTCACATGGTAATTTTTAATTATATTCTTTAAAATTTGAATTAGTAAAAATGTTTACTAATTTGAATTATAGTGACTGATTTTTTTAAAATTAGTAAATTTAACTAATTTATTAGTAGGGGAGAGTTGTCAGAGTTGGGCAGCTGTTAGAGTTGAGCCACCGCGTTTATTTTGTTTTATCGCACTAGCGCGATCTATCTTTTTACGAAAATACTTGCTACTAATGTCAGCCATCTTTTCATATGAGTCGCAGTTAAGTATACGAACCTATACTTGACCAGCGTACCAATTTGTGATATAGGCTCAGCAAAAACTTTTTTGTGGTGTCAAAAAAAGAGAACAAAATGTAGAAGAAATGTGCCAAAGACAAAATAAGTTTACAGAAATTGTTCATTAGGATGATATGTGAAAATGTGTAAAGTACTTTGGTGTTTGTGTCACGCGTTTGTGTTCTGTGCCCCTATGACGCAAAACGACCCGTGTGTCAGAGTTGGGCCATGAGGGAAATTTTGCAATTACAAAGCGTATTTGCAACAGAAATTCATTTTTTCACTTAAAAAGGTGTTAAAAACTCCATTTTCACTGGAAAGAGAAAAAAAAAATTTTTTGATAAACTTTCTTCATTTTTTCAATTTTTTAATTTTGGATTTCGTTCATGAGGAATAAATTATCTAAAGTTATATGAAAATGAATAATATGGAATTTTATTTTAATTTCATGGTTCCTTTCCTCATTCCCAAGTGTCATTCTATCATTTGAAGGTCATTTTTAATCATTTACCTAAATATTTCATTGATTTTCTACAGTGGCTCAACTCTGGCGACCATGATTAACTCTGACAACATTTTTTTTTTAAATTGCTTATAACTCTGAATCTTTTGGTCAAATTTTTTTACAATGTTCAGCAAAAGCATTGCATTTGAGTTCATCTTTCCAAAAATATGCGCGAAATCGCGAAATTCGTTCTACAGGAGAAGTTATGAAGAAAAGTCAAAACTATGCTCAACTCTAACAACACTCCCTTAGAAATGACTATTTATTAGTAAAATTTACTAAATAAAAAAAGTCAGTCACTAATCTAAATTAGTATAAACATTTTTACTAATTCAAATTTAGAGAATATAATTTAAAAAAAAAATTATTCAAATTTGAAATTTTTAAATTGAAAATTTAAAAAATGTTGTCATTTAGAAAATTGAAGAGAACATAAGAGAAAAAATATCATTGAAAGACTTGCAACATTTTAATATTTATCGCTGAAAACTAGAACCGACGAAAGAAAATAAAATTTTGTTGTGAATATTGATAATAAAATATTAAAATATAAAAAAATATGTTAAATACTTTAAATATACCTATTTAAAGTTGCTTCGTCCATGAATCTGTAACAGTAATTTTTTCTTATTATTTTACATTTACGTTTAATAATACAATTGAAAATATATTTTTAGTACTATTTTTTATAATTTTTAATAATTTTTGAAGTTTTCAAGTTTTTAAATTTCAAATGAACGAAATATTTCTTATTAAAAATATTTCTCAAAATATTTGCATAAAATTTTGATTGCAATAAAAATTATAAATTTAAATTTTATTATTATTACTATTATTAATTAAAACTTTTTTTGTATTTGATAATAAAAAGTCAGTCACTGATTTAAATAGTAATATTTTCCTAATGAAATTAATAGTTAATGGTAAATAATTATTATTTTTTCCGGTCAAATTAAATTCCCGGCTATTTCCCGGTTTCCAGTTTGGTAGATATACTGTTAAATGTATTGGTAGAAACTAGTATTGGTACGACAGCTAGTATTTAATAAAAATATAAAATAATTTATTGTTATTTATAAAACAAAAATGTTTTTCTATAAACCATAAATGCATACACTGAATTCTTACACTGAAAAGAAATTATTTGATTTAAATAACCGATTACTCGTCTATTACCAAATAAATTAAACTTGAATTAAATTATTTTTATCAATTAATCACTAAAATGGTATTTGTTTTTTCAAATAATGAAATTATTGGTTCAAATAGAGGCGAACGGGGCGAGGCAGCCAAGGAGGCACATTTTGGTTTGCGAGGCAGTTATTTAAATAGGTTTTTTCAATTTTAATATCGCGTTAGAAAGCTTGTCTTATTGGCTAAAAAATCGCCATAGAACATTTTGACGTAAGTTGCACTTAAAAATTTCTACAACCCTTTTCCCAAAGGACCACATTTTGGCATATTTGCAAAAACGTGGGGTGAGGCGGCCAACTATTTTAATAGTTAAAAAAACATAACTTAAAGTTACAATTAGTGAAACATAACAAAGTAGTTGTCCTTAACTTACTTTTATTTTGTTAGTAGCAATTCCATTAACACCATCGTCTTCAACACTGAATTCTGCATTAAAAATCACTTTACAAGAATTTTATTTGTGTAACTCTATTAACTAAAATCACCAAAATAACTCTTAGAAAAGTTACATCCAAAAAGTCTGTTTTCATAAATGATACTGTCATTGCTAAACTGCTGCAGCAATAATGCCCATCTGTTAGCAACTAAAGTAAACTACCATAAGCAGTCTAAATTATCAATACCGCACGATTTGAAAAAATTATGCAGAAATAAGAAGCAATTGGCTGCCTCGCCCCGTTCTCCTCTACCTACAATTTATTTGATTTAAAGAAAAATGATTTGATTCAAGTATAAATATTTATTTGATGACAGACGAATAATCAGTTAATTGAAAAAAATTTTTTTAGTGTATTATTTTTATAAAAATGTAATTAATATTTTCTATTAATTATTATTAATTTAATATTATAATTACTTTAAAAATAGTATTATCCCCAGTAGCACGTAATATTACAGCAATAGGGAGAACACTGCCTAAACATAACCAATGTTGCCTCAATGTTACAGGTATGTTCCCAATATTACGTGCTACTGGGGATATCAATTATTAATTAAAACAAATTAATTGAAAGAAAACTATTATTAATTGAAACTTGAATATAATAAAAATATAAAATTTATTATCCTCTATATTATAATCTGCAGATAATAGTAAAATAAATTTTATATTTACCAAATGTTTTTTGAAATTATTTTTAATTGGAATTTTTTCAAATTACGTAAGAAATAAGTATAACTTTCGAAAAGGCTTCTATCAAACCTAATCTTACTTTCTGTTTTCGTCTAAATGGTCTAAATTCAAAGTCTTCGAGGATAATCTAATAAAATATAAAACAACTGAATAATTAAACTAACAGAAAAAATAATAATAAAGGAAAATTTTTTTTCTTTTTTTTCCAATTTAGAAGGAAAATATTTTATTACTTTTTCCCTCAAGTTACTTATTTGACAAATAGTATAAAATGTATAAAATTTACAAGCTTTATTCACAACAATAACAACAAAAAAGTAAGAAATAAAAATTATACCTTAAATATGCTGAGAGTTCTCCTCTTTTTTTCATAACAATTCAAACATTGTTTTGACAGTTCCTACACTGAAAAAATGTTAGGCCGTTGGCTGTACTGGTTCCGAAACAACCAGTTCCCCTTTCAACCAGCACGTCAGACGTCCTTTTTCAAGACAGTAGACGTAGACATACTTCTTCACGGAGAGAAGGTTGAACGTAAAATCACGGTGTGATCAGAGTCTTAGGCGATGAATGGAAACTCATCATAATTTTCTACAAGATGTAGCGCTCTCTGACGGTTACTGTCACTGCCACTTGCGATTCGTGAATGGAAAAACTCGGTGAAATCACTCAGATTTACCGTGAACTTTCCCCCTCTTTTAACCTTCTCAATTAGACACTGTCTTTTACGGTTCAAATTTCTCTCCGTGTTCAGCGCATGCGTTGTTCTGTGGTTTAGGGAAATAGTGGGAAATAGCTATCAGCACGCACTGAGAGAAGTCCAGGGCGTAATAGTTACCGCTAGACGTCGCTATAAGCTACTGTTCTTGTTGCGTTTGAGATGTTTCGAATCTAGGGCTCAGACGCCCCGAGTCTGTCAAACATTGTTCCCGCATGTGAGAGAACAACTCGTGACCGAAACTAAAAGTTGTAAGTAAAGGCCAACGCAGAATAGATCTGTAACCGGAACCGCAATCGTAAGCGTAACCGTAAGAATGAGTTAGAGAAGGATAGGTATATTGTTTATCCTTCTCTAACTCATTCTTACGCTTACGGTTACGATTGCGGTTCCGGTTACAGATATATTCTGCGTTGGCCTTAATCCCGCTTCGGGAGGTTCCACGTTTTTTATCGGGGCTTGAGACGTCCCGATCGAGGGTTCACATAAGAACATTCAAAATTATCACTCAAGCCTCGCACGGGACGTATTAGTTCCCGGACTTCTCTCAGTGCGGCGGTTGAACTGAAAAAGTAAGGCTGAAGTCCCATGGCACCGTTTTGCGTTGCGTCGTAATGGGAGAGAAAAAGACGCAAATATACGTTTGCTGCATTCTCTCTCATTACAACGCAACGCAAAACGCTGCCATGGGACTGCGGCCTTAGTCTACTGTCAAGAAAAAGGACGTCTGACGTGCTGGTCAGAAGGAAAACACTTGTTCTGGCGTTTTAAGAGAACCAGTACAGCCAACGGCCTAAAACTTTTTCAGTGTATAGGTGTAAATACTGTAATTCAACTCAGTGTTGAATAAATAATTCCCAGCACCATTCGAACTAATTTTTTTTTAACCAAAAAAAATTTTTTCGCTTTTAATCAAAAATTGAATTTTTTTTCCCTTGAAATTTGTATTTTTGGCAAAATTCTTGTTGCTTATAGAAAATTTTTCCAGTGGGATTTTTTTCTCTCACTTTTTCGTCCTGCTCGTGGAATGAAAATTTTCCAGCAGTGAAAATGCACCTTAAGGAAAATAGAAAATCAAGATTTCACCGTTTCACGAGATATGAACTATAATGCGCGCGCACATAAACGTACAAGAGCTGCCAGGTACCCTCACCAAACGCAACTGCGCTTGCGCTACAAAAAAGCTTCTATTTGTAGAATAAAACAACTTGTCCATCTAAAGGCCAACGCAGAATAGATCTGTAACCGGAACCGCAATCGTAAGCGTAACCGCAAGAATGAGTTAAAGAAGGATAGGTATATTGTTTATCCTTCTTTAACTCATTCTTACGCTTACGGTTACGATTGCGGTTCCGGTTACAGATCTATTCTGCGTTGGCCTTAAAGTACTTTATATCACCCCAGTCTGACTTCCATGCATTCTGATGCTGGAACATGTCAGCTTAATGGTTTGCACTTCTATGTGCGAAAAAAACTCGCGAGATGGCGCTGTGCGCACCACGCTCTAAATATGCATTGCAACAATAGAATAAAATATTAAAATAACAAAGGAATTGTTGTAAAAGCTGTAATTAAAAAATTTGCTATTTGTAATATACTTATATAAGGTTTTAAAATTTATTTAAAAACAGAGAGTAGCAAAATAAATAGTTTACACGGAAAAAAAAAGTACGTGAAATTTTCATTGACTCGGTACTTGACTTTTGGATACGACACAAAATACTAAAAACAGTCTAGTACTTTTGCATGAGAGTTTCAAAAGCAGTCAATGAAAATTTCTAGTACCTTGCTTGAGAATTTCATTGACTTTCAAAAAAACTGTAAAATAAAAAAAATAATTTCCACTTGTTCACACCGTTTTTCTGAAATTCACTCATTCATTCACATATTTGGATAATTAATCACACAAACAAAGAACAATTATTGTATCACTTTTCGACGTTCGTCAACACTTATGAACTAACCTATAACACACACATATATTCGCGTATAACTTAAATATAAACACACACTTAACACTTAAAAGTACGTATCGAATTGTTCTTATATACCACATGGTGACATTTTTCACGACTTCTGAGACATGCTATTTCACTGAAAACTGAGACTTACATAACATTCTGTTTTGTGAGAAACACAAAACAAAAAATATTTTTTTGAAAGTCAATTCTTGAAGACAAATATATATTAACACTATTTGTTTTTCATAAAATAATAGTATATTCACATCTGAAATTAACACAAATGGAAACAGACGATCAGCTGGCATTTACCTTCCCTGTTTAAAAAAATTATTAAAATGGATAGGATTTGATAGAATTTTCTTCCTTCACTCCTTGAAATTCGAATCCAATTTAATCAAATATTGAAAATCCAATCCACTTCTATCCAAAGTAGAAAATTAAATCCATTCCTATCATAAGTTTTGATGTATTATCTATCAAAGTTAATAATATACTAAAATTCAATATTTTACTATCAAGAGTTTGGATACGAATTCTATCAAATTCTATTAGTCGAAAAATCTTATAATTTTCTATCCATGAGTTTTGATTGAATACCTATCAAATTCTTTCCAAATGAAAATCTAATATTTCTCTATCCAAGATTTGGATACAAATTCTATCAAATTCTATGAGTCGAAAATTCTTATAGTTTTCTATCCATGAGTTTTGATTGAAGACCTATCAAATTCTTTCCAAATGAAAATCTAATATTTCTCTATCCAAGATTTGGATACAAATTCTATCAAATTCTATGAGTCGAAAATTCTTATAGTTTTCTATCCATGAGTTTTGATTGAAGACCTATCAAATTCTTTCCAAATGAAAATCTAATATTTCTCTATCCAAGGTTTGAATACAAATTCTATCAAATTCTATGAGTCGAAAATTCTTATAGTTTTCTATCCATGAGTTTTGATTGAATATCTATCAAATTCTTTCCAAATGAAAATCTAATATTTCTCTATCCAAGATTTGGATACGAATTCTATCAAATTCTATGAGTCGAAAATTCTTATAGTTTTCTATCCATGAGTTTTGATTGAAGACCTATCAAATTCTTTCCAAATGAAAATCTAATATTTCTCTATCCAAGATTTGGATACAAATTCTATCAAATTCTATGAGTCGAAAATTCTTATAGTTTTCTATCCATGAGTTTTGATTGAAGACCTATCAAATTCTTTCCAAATGAAAATCTAATATTTCTCTATCCAAGGTTTGAATACAAATTCTATCAAATTCTATGAGTCGAAAATTCTGATAGTTTTCTATCCATGAGTTTTGATTGAATATCTATCAAATTCTTTCCAAATGAAAATCTAATATTTCTCTATCCAAGATTTGGATACGAATTCTATCAAATTCTATGAGTCGAAAATTCTTATAGTTTTCTATCCATGAGTTTTGATTGAATACCTATCAAATTCTTTCCAAATGAAAATCTAATATTTCTCTATCCAAGATTTGGATACAAATTCTATCAAATTCTATGAGTTTAAAATTCTTATAGTTTTCTATCCATGAGTTTGGATTGAAGACCTATCAAATTCTTTCCAAATGAAAATCTAATATTTCTCTATCCAAGGTTTGGATACAAATTCTATCAAATTCTATTAGTCGAAAATTCTTATAGTTTTTTATCCATGAGTTTGGATTGAAGACCTATCAAATTCTTTCCAAATGAAAATCTAATATTTCTCTATCCAAGATTTGGATACAAATTCTATTAAATTCTATGAGTCTAAAAATCTTATAATTTTCTATCCATGAGTTTTGATTGAATACCTATATCAAATTCTTTCAACACGAAAATCTAATATTTCTCTATCAATGATTTGGATACAGTTTTTATCAAATCCTATTATTTAAAACGTCTTATAACTTTCTATCTATGAGTTTTGATAAAATACCTATTAATTTCCTTCCACATGGAATTTCCCTTTATTACTCTATCAAAAATTCTATTGTTCGAAAAATGTCCTAATTTTCTATTTATGAGTTATTATTAACCTTCCGTTGACACACTTCCTTTTATTTCACTGTTGACACTATGCTGGTCAATTTGACTATCATTATGACATTTGATAACACTTAGACAAAAAAAATATTAAAAATATATTTATAATAAAAATACTATATTTTAATTTTAAACTATCCTTAGTAGGATCGTTTTATATTAATATAAATTTTTAAAACAAAAGTTGATTTATAAATTGTTGATATACAGAAATTGTTAAAATATAAACATCATTCGGGTTGTTAAATGTTAAAAATGAAAATTATATTCAAGTTTTAAGATAATGAAAGGAAAAATACAGTGTTTTTTAATAATAAAACTTTAATTAAACAAAATTTTTTAAAATTATTTTTATACATTTTAATTACACACTGTGTCAAATTTTGTTGATTAAAAAATGTTACAATTTTCAATTCATGATGTTTCTATCAAATTCTATGAGTTTAAAAATCTTATCATTTTCTATCCTTGCGTTTGGATTGAAGACCTATCAAATTCTTTCCAAATGAGAATCCATTATTTTTCTATAAAAGATTTTGATACAAATTCTACCAAATTCTATTGATTGAAAAATCTTATAATTCTCTATTCATGAGTTATATTAAATATTTATGAAATCTTGTGTTCTTGAAGATCTATTATTTTTCATTATCTACATAACTATATATTTATATCAGAAAAATGAACTGAAATATTCAATTGTCTAATGCTTTTGATTGTAATTTTATTTACATAAATTTTATGAAACATTATTAAGAAATGGAAACGCACAAACATAACTTTTTTCTTTTACTTCTACTAACATCAATTTTTCTTTTATTTCATAAATAGGAATAACAATTACTTGTTTGCCTTTTTTGACAGGCAGCAAATGATTAACACTAAATGAGACCTGTCGATCAGTTTCCATACACATTTTTCTAGCATTAACGAGAACAGATGTTTCTGTTTCATAAATAAAACGTGTAATTTGGACAATAGAATTATTTTTTAACTTCACAATTGTGTCGTTGGTCTTTTTTGCTCGGGTATAATCAGTTCCGCAATATATTGAACCTTTATAAATACAGCGTGAATAAAAACATTCGTTTGAGCTTGGTCCTAAGAGTATTACATCTGCATCAGCAGTTACTCTTCGTACAGATTGTGTACATTGCTTTTTAAAAAAAAGAGTTTTACAAAATTCCGCAGCTGATTCAGATTGTGTTGTTTGTTTCCATAGGCATTT